CAAAGTTAATGTTATCTCTATTTTATTACTATTAATGTCTAAATTGTAATAAGCATTTGATAAAGGTTGTGAGATGTAAGGTGGGGTGGTTGGTACATTGTAGCTTCTGGACAGCCTACTCAGCCGCCTCCCACGCGACCCCCACCGCCCAGGCCACAGGTGTCTGGTCATCCCCAGCCCTCAGCAGACCATGTGGACCATGACCGTGTGCGCCGTTCCTCACTTGGCACTGGGACCAGAAAGAAGGAGGTAAGGAAGGGGAAGGGGCTTAGGCGTCTCTCGAATGTGTCGATAGCACGTATTCTGCAGGCTTTAAACCTCACCTTAACATTCCACCCAATCATAACCTAATCCGATCCTAAAAGACACCATTTCACCACCAATTTTCGGACCACGTACGTGGAGTGCACTAGCCTCGTGTAACAACATCAACAAGCGCATTCGACGGTGCTCGTCGGCGCCGCTCGTATCCTTGCACCTGGTGTCGGTAGACTAGACTAACCAGTCGCGAATCTCTGCATGTGGGTTGCTGGTGTACGGTGGCGTGTGCGTCGTTTAACTCGACAGGCGAGGCAGCGCTCACAGAAGCCGTCGGCGCGCCACTCGGCCACTGTCGCCAGCGAGCGGGAGGAGAAGAAGCCGCCGCGCTCGCGCGAGGGCTCGCCGCGACCTCCCCCCGACCCCGCCGACGAGATGATCCCGCTCGAGGACTTCTCCAAGAAGCGGCGGCACAAGAGCGACGCGTCCGCGCAGCGCGAGCCGCGGCCGCGCCACCACTCCAGCTCGGACGAGGGCGCCACCGCGCGACGCACCTCCTCCGCCAGCCCGCATGTGCGCCGCCTGAGCGGCCCTCTGCAGCGCCCCCTACTGTTGGCGCACAGCATTCACGGCAGCCCTCTGGCACACTCCTCACACGGTTCTAGACCACGTCTGGTGCGGCAGGTGAGGCGAGGCCGCGTGCGTGTAAGCCGCCATCTTTGGAAATTCTACTAACAGCATTGTTATGACTAACAGTATTTTATTGACTAACCATTTAACAACTTATTAACACTGGTATCCGATCCAAAGAATCACACCAAATCCTAAATTGCATGACGGCTTGTACTGGAGTAAATGTTACACAATCCTAGTTTAATTGTTTTAATAAAAAAAAAGATGAATATTGAATCACAGTTAGTGTAATTTTGATAGGATAATCAGACAGCAGCAAATGTGAAATTTTTTAATTTTGGTTTAATAAGCTACTATTAGTTTTATTATATTTGATGTTGATTTTCGATAAATATCTACTAGCATTATTGTTGGTGGCAGATAAAACAACAGGCAGCACGTCTATATAATCACATTTTAGTTATCAAAGGGCTGTAGAAGAAAAGACGTGTCACTGAGATATGTTATGTTGTTTCTTGAATGATGCGATTCATGGTCGTTTATCACAGGACTCCGGAGTGAGACCATGCTCCTCCGAGGCCAAGGCAAAACAGCGCAAGGAGAAGAAGTCGCGGAGCCGTGAACATTCTGGCACCGAGCCAAAGTCGCTAACACCCGCAAAGGTGGCGCCAGTGTCACTGACGGACTCCGTCGAAGACCTAAAGATATCCACTAAGATTCTCCCACCGGCGAACACGCAACACATACGCCACCTGGTGACCGACTCGTCGAGCGAAGATGACGGGACGACGGAGACTTCGTTTACCGAGGTGACGGCAGACAAGCGAACAGCCAGCAGCGACCTGTTTGAGAGCAGTGACCAGCAGCCAGCAGAGGGCGTGGCCGATGTTGATGGCGAGATCACAAAGCTCGCGCAGATGGTGACGCAGCAGTTCAGCACAGACGACGACAATCCAACGCTCGAGGAGGCAGCCTCACCGCAAAAAGTTCCCGGTGCGGTCGAACACTTGTGATCGCAGCAGTCGTCTGCGTCAACCAAGGGCCGGATTAAGGTAAGCTGAACGTTTGGCATGATGTCTCAACTCGCGCTTGCGTTGCTTACCGTTTTTGTAGTAACATCACTTACATGTTGTGGTAAGATTCGTTTTATAAATCTCTTGCAGGTATAATGTATTGCGCATTTGAAATAGTGCGCGTGTCGTATAGTCAAGTGTGGTTCTTGATGTCGCCGCTCCAAACGTATGGAGTGAGCGTTAGAGTTCTAAGCCTTGCGTTGACTATTGTTCCTTGCGGTGTGTTGTTCGTAACCCGTCGGTTTGTTTCGTGCTAACTGAACAGCTACTTGGAGAGTCAGTGTACAGAGCAAAAGTCCGAAGCTGGTGTTAACACACTAGAGGTTTATTTTATGTATGGACACTTCATTATATATTCACACACTCTACTTATATATGCACACATACAAAAGTGCATAAAGTCTGCAAGCTGAACACTGCTAAAAGCTACACGTCAACGTTCATCGCATTCATACGTATTGGTATGTCTGTCGTCAAGTCGTCACTACTAGAATAGCTACACGTGCACGTGTCACAACTAAAACCAAGAACTGATCATTTCGGGGCGCGCTCTGGTATTTATATGGTCGCGCAAAGTGACTTCGTCATAGGGGCGCCACTGGCTACATTGCCTCTAAAAACTCTGTGCGCCTACACCAGAGGTCAGCACTCTGCAGTGTTGCGCCCAAAACTTCATACGTTTACACTTTAATTTCCACACCAGAGGTCACCACCTAACTACAAATGCTCTAAAACTGCCGGCCTTCCAGGCCCTAACCGCTACATGTCAACATTTTTACCAAGTCACGTAGAAGGCACATGCGGCTAGCGACAGGGCGTCATCCCTATGTTACGGATGCGCGATTCACCCTAGCGGCGAGTTATGGAACTAAAACCATGTACAAGTACATTTGATAAACATGAATTTTACATTTTACCCTAACCCTAACCCTAACCCTAACCCTAACCCTAACCCTAACCCTAACCCTAACCCTAACCCCTAACCCTAACCCTAATCGCGCATGCGTAACATAGGGATGACGCCCTGTCGCTAGCCGCATTTGTAGAAGGCTGATAGGCATTATTATCTATCTCGTAACGTCCATCTTCACACCACGAATGTCAAGAATAGTCACGAATTCAATTTTAATCGTACCTGATTCGTAGATGCATTTGGCATATTCTTAACTGATTCGTAACTGATTCCTAACGTTCGTGCAGTATTCGTAATCGATTCTTGTAAATCGTAGTGAATTCTGGACAATATTTGAGCGATTCGAGCTGAATCCCACGAATATTCGTAACTCTATCGTACCTGTATCGTAACAGAATCGTAGAGCGTCACGATTTGAACAAGAAGTTTGCAAAATACCACGAATCCTCACGAATCCTAAAATTTATCAATTCGTGGCGATTCTTAGGATTCGTGGTCTGTGTGGAATAGAGGTATTACACATTTTATTAAGGATACAGTCAGGGTTACTGACAGGTACCTCTGTAAAGAGCATTGCAACATAACTGCTCATCAATTTCAATCAAACTCATATCTATTTCATAAAAGAGATGTCCCTCTACGCTCTCGATGAAAATAATCAAAAAAACCTCATCGCTAATTACGTGACGGCAAAAATTTTGAATTGATATAAAAATAGGCTTTTTTTTCTTATTTCTCAGAAACAGCAACGAGTTGGGATCTAAACTTTTAGTCATAAATTGTTCATAGTATGAACGAAAACAACAACTTGAACAAGGCGAGCCGCATACGTACTCAGCCAATAGAAAAAAAGCATGATGAAGTTTAATTACAGCACCAAGGTTAAAGCCCTTGTTAATCGGCCAATCACGCGGTCAAGTAATGCTGTTCCTGCAGCTAATGACGAGCCAGACCTAAACTCTCCGGAGCGGCTGAGCTCCGATCGTCAACGACAGAAGATTGGCCTCTCCAGACCTAACCAGTCTTATAAAATGGCTACACTCAACTGTAGAACTCTACGCTCCGCATCTTCTCACGCTGAGCTCAACAAACTCATGAATGACTATTCTATATCTGTAACCTGCTTCCAAGAACATCGTTTTGTACATTCTGACTCCGATCCGGAAATAGTTGCTCACGATCTTGGCCAGGTAACTCTCTTCACTGCATCTGCCGTTCGAAATGACTGTGGTGCCTCCATTCGTAGGGTGGGCATGTCTATAGATTCGAAACTGCTATCTTTGCTTCTCTCAGTTAAGAAGTTAGATGAGCGAATCGTCTCTGCCACGTTTAAGGGGAATCCCAAAACAGTAATAACTTGCCTGTTACTCACCGCACAACAGCATGCCAGATGATGTCGTTAATGACTTCTATTCAAAACTAAGCAACGCAGTTGAAGACATTCCGCTACACTCAATGGTCATCATCGGAGGCGACATGAACGCTCAAATCTCAAAAGGTTTCTCATTGCATGATACATCAAATCGCAACGGCCTGATGTACACAAACGCGCGTAGCTGGTACAGCGTTTCTGATTTGGTGGCACGCTGTATATAGGATGCGCGCGCTCATGACGTCACTATTTAAAGCGCGTTCCAGGGTTTGCATATGCCACGTAAGCGTATATAGGGATTTTGAACTGTTTGGGAGGCTACATACATAATATCTACATTTACATAGCTGCCCATGGGCGCCATCTATCAAATAAAATGAGTATTGAAATTTCGACCGAATATCACCTACCCACCCTGAATGTATCCTTAACCAGTAAAAAGAATACTTGTGATGTACGAGTGGCAATGTGGCAAGCAAGTGAAGCATGTGAAGTGAGGATATAGCTTCTTTCTTGTTTTTGTCATGTTTAAAGTTGTTTTCGTTGTCCCACACACTTGCTCTTCGGTTGCCAATGTTTTGTCCAAAATTCTATGTGCATTCAATCTGTATACTACACACGCGCTTCCCTATTTAAATGTTCCTACATTAGTTGTGGTACAGATGCTATGCACGGGATGTTAAGTGTGTTACTATAATTAGGGCTCCCCTACTACCAACTATACCTACCCCCTCCCCTACTATATTTCCAGGCTCGGATGTGTAAGATGCAGTGCATAGCCAGGCTGCTTGAGCTACCTGACGCAAAGCAAGCGCATTCCTACAACCAGGCCTCACATGCAGGAACTTCCCGCAGCAGGCGGTCTTTACAACAGTCTGGTGAGTGTTGTATAATGAACATCAGTTAACATAAGTAACCCATTGGAAACCACTTAATTTTTAGCTCATCTGACATAGTCAGATGCAGCTTGTAGAATCGCATGTGCGTGCGTCCGTGCATCAACAGTTGGGCACAAATCTAAACGGCTCGACGTACGGATTTGAAAGTCGGGACGTAGGGGGGTAATCCGAAAACGAGTTGGGATGTCGAAGCTGGGGGTCAAAGGTCAAGAGGTCTAAAAGAAGGGGGAACATTCCATCCTTAACTTAAGGTATAGGGAGGAAATGCAGAATTGCGGCACAAATCTAGACGGCTCGACCTAGGCTCGTGATAGTTGGTGGATAGCATCATGGTAGGAAAAGCCATCACTGTGCCGAAATTGGAGGTCACAGGTCATTGGTCAATGGGGCACAGGGATGATTTTAGACATTTTCTGAGGACATGGTCTGACGGAGCGATTGAAAAACTTTTTTGTTTCAGCGGTGACCTACCATTTTTATGGCTTTATTGAAAGGACCATAAAATGTACTTTCCGCTGACATGCGAAGAGGATAGGTCGGATAACCTTTTGACCCTCAAGAGGAGGGTTAAACATGGATTTGTTGACTGTTAACAAAGGACAGAACTGCTTTTGCTATTGTGGATGTGAGGCTACAGTTGCACAGTTCAATTGCACAGGCAAATGTTTGTTGAACAAGGTTTACGCTCCTTAAATCATATTATTTTCTAGAGCAGTCTGTATGCTCGCGTGGGTAGGCAAAAACATGGGGGCAGCCCATTCAGGCTTTCCAGCAGTCCTTGACAACATTTTAGGGCTAATTTTAGGGAGAAATTCAGGTTTTTTTAGGGCTATTTTAGGAATTTTTAGGGATGAATCGAAACATTTTAGGGATAAAATAAGTCACTTACCTTTCATAAACATCAACGTATTAACTTACAGATACAGTTTTATGTGGTATGTGTCCAGTCTACCAGCTATTCCTATCCTCCAAGTCCTCGATACGACTGTACATCATCAAGTTTCATGCAAATTAGGCATGTCTTGTACATCCAGCCAGGAACAGGGTCGTATAATCAGACACTGAAGCTTAGGAATTACTGGTGGACTGAGAGTCACAATACTTACTCTGTATAAAGATAACTAGAAAACATCCATTAGCAGGGTCTCCAACCCTGTGAACTCAAAATGCAGAATGTTCCCGCGGTGATCAGTAACTAGTGGCGTATTCCGAAATTGATGGACAGGGGGGGCGAAATGTACCTTGGCTGCCGCAGGCAGGCCCGCGTGCCGTAGGCATGCCAGTGATAGGGGGGTCTGACATGCCCCCCCAGAAAATTTTGAAATATTTAAGCCATTTTCCTGCAATCTGAGGCATACTGTGGGCCATATTCTCATGTCTGATAACACAATCTCAACCCTAGACTCAACCCTACAACCTTGTCTGATTAGCAGACAAACTACGTGACACCTTGCGGACAGCGCCTGTCTGACTAGGCTATTCCATTTACCGTAGACATGCCAGATACAAAATGCCTGAAAAAAACAATGTGTCCAAGCAAACAATGCGACCAATCAGTGCAAATTTTGTACAGTGCAACTGAAATGAGGAATATAACCTTGCCGCTGCAGAATGCGGAAATTAAGCCTAGAAATCGTAATGATTCCGCAGAATGAGGAATGGTTGGAGACCCTGCATTAGACATAATTACAAACCAAAAGTTCATCATCTCATCACCAAAAACTCCAAACATATCTGTGAATTTTTTTTTATAGGAATTTGAATAAAATTTTAGCCTTTTTTTAGGAATTGCATACATTTTAAAAGTTTTTTTAGGAATTTTAGGGCGAGCTCAAAATTTTAGGAATTTTTAGGAATTTTAGGGCCGCTGGAAAGCCTGCCCATTACGCGTGCATGGGGGTGAACTGGCACTATTCTAATCATAATTATTGCCTGGCAACCTGCAATGCAGATTTAACTCACAGCTGAGCGAAATCCGCTCTGCCCTGGAATACTTGGATTTCAGCACTCATGAGTAGTTATCACCACAACAAGGGTGAGCATCTTGATTTTGATACACTTGCACTCCCATCCGCGGCAACTGGCTTTGCTATAGCGCCCCCTCCCGCCACCATCTCCAACACACCAACCAACTACGCCGCGCTCGACCAAAATATCCATGATAACATGTTTATTAAGCGAAGCATAGATTACACAGCTGTATCTATTACTGCGTACTACCGGTATAGCAAAAAGCTACTATCATAGATCTGTATATCTTAATTAGTAGTATCCACGATATATATGCTGGATTATATGGCGGAGTCGCTACGTGATTCGTTGCCATATTAGCAGAGAAACCCCGCTACAGTAAACTCAGTTAGTCTGCTGTCGCCTGCGCATCTTTAATGTCAGAACAAACATGCTGTCAAGACAATGTGCATTTTAGGAAACTTAACAAAGTAATTTATCTCATTTTATACTCATAATTTCAAATGAATAACATTTTGCATAAAAGGTGTGAGATGTATGGGCTGGTTGGTAACATCTGTGACTTCTGAACAGCCTACTCAGCCGCCTACCCACGCGACCCCCACCGCCCAACCACAGGTCATGGGTCATCCCCACCCTCGCAGACCCATTGCATCAGATCTTTGCGCCGTTCCTCATGGACTGGGGACCAGCAAAGAAGAGGTAAGAAAGAAGGGCTTAGCTCACTCGCAATGTGTCCGATAGCACTATTCTGTCAAGCTTAACCCCGCAACCTAACCATTCCACCAATCATACCTACCGATCCTAAAAACACCATTTCACCACCAACTTGATTGCGACCACGCTACTATGCATAAGCATCGTGTAACAACATCTATATCTATATCTCTATCTATCGCGCTCGTCGGTCCCTGCTCGAGTACCTTGCACCTGGTGTCGTAGACCCAACTAACCAGTCGCGAATCTCCTCATGTGTGCAATGGTGTACGTGGCAGGTGCGCGTCGTTTACTCGACAGGCAGGCAGTCGCTCGACAAGAACCCGTCCGGCGCGCCACTCGCACCGTCGCCCAGCGAGGGGAGGAGAAAAGCGCCGCGCTCGCGCGAAGGCTCGCCGCGACCTCCCCCCGAAGCCGCCGCACGAGATGATCCGCGCCGAAGACTTCTCCAAGAATCGGCGGCACACACCAGAGTTACGCTCGCCGCAGCGCGAGCCACTCCGGCCACCACTCACTCAAGACGAGGCGCCATCCGCGCAGACACTCTCTCTCGCCAGCACCCCGCCATCGCCGCTCTGACGTCCCTCTGCAAAGCCCCCCTACTGTTTCGGCAACAGCACATTCGGCAACGGCAGCCCCATCTGGCACACTCCTCCACAGTTCTAGACCACGTCGGTGCGCAGTGAGTCGAGGCCGGCGTGCTTAACGCCATCTTGAACCTACAACAGCAATGTATGACTAACATTAATTATGACTAACCATTAACACCTATAACACGATCCGATCCAAAGAATCTTACACCAATCCAAGTCATGACGGCTATGACCCGGAGTGAAGTTACAAAACCTAATTTAATGGTTAATAAAAGAATAGATGAATATTGAATCACACCGTTAGTGTAATTTGATAAGATATTAACAGCACAAATGAGAAAATTTTTTATGTGGTTAATAAGCTCACTATTATTTATCAATGATTGATTTTCGATAAATACTAAACTACATTATCTGTGGCAATAAAACGAACCAGGCAAGCACTGCGGAGTCTAAAAACACATATTAGTTACGGAAGGGCCTGAGAAGAAAAGACGTGTCCACTGAGAGAATCTATTTATCGCTGTATTCTTAGATGCTATTATGCGTTTATCACAGGACCGCCGGAATGAACCCAGCCCTCCGAGGCCAAGGCAAAACCGCGCAAGAAAGAATCCGCGAGCCGAACATTCTGGCACGGAGCCAAAGTCGCTAAACACCCGCAAAGTGCGCACAGTGTCACTTGCGACGGACCTCCGTCGAAGACCCTAAACGAATCTCACTAAGATTCTCCCACCGCGAAACAACCAACACATACGCCACCTGTGACCGACCGTCGATCGAAGAGACGGACGACGGAGACCTTCGTTAGCGAGGACGGCAGACAACCAACAAGCCACATGCGACCTTTTGAAGCATGACCAGCAGCCGCAGAGGGCGTGGCCGATGTTATGCGTGAGATTCACAAAGCCGCCGCAGATGGTGACACGCACGCAGTTCAAGCACGAAGACACCGACAATCCCAACGCTCGAGGAGCAGCCTCACCTGCCAAAAAGTTCCCGGTAGTCGTCCCGAACACTTTGATCGCAGCAGTCGTCTGCGTCGGCATGGCAACGGGTGCGGTGTCGTTCACTTGTGAGCGCAGCAGTCGTCTGCGTCGGCATGGCAACGGGTGCGGTGTCGTTCACTTGTGATCGCAGCAGTCGTCTGCGTCGGCATGGCAACGGGTGCGGTGTCGTTCACTTGTGATCGCAGCAGTCGTCTGCGTCGGCATGGCAACGGGTGCGGTGTCGTTCTCTTGTGATCGCAGCAGTCGTCTGCATCGGCATGGCAACGGGTGCGGTGTCGTTTACTTGTGATCGCAGCAGTCGTCTGCATCGGCATGGCAACGGGTGCGGTGTTCCCCGCTACTCGCGCGGCCATTAAATCTTACATTAGCATCGAAGTATATCTGTGATTGAGGAGGTGACTAGTCAAACCAACGAGGTCTGTGTACGTCATCTTCTCTCTCGGAAAAAAATGTTATCTTGTTATGAGTTACCTGGCAACAGCTCTGATCATCTGTTACATGTCTGTCTTGCCACATGGACACACGCACGCACGTACACACGCACACTTATATATGTGTATGTAGGTATATTGCAACCTCGATGTCAATCTCATGTATTGTTGTGTGAGTGCCGGAGACCTAAATGACTAAATACAAATTAAACATCTGCTGCGATATATACTTGCATTCATGTAAAACCAGATAACCAGGTCTTTGCCGGTAATTTCACAATTATGTAAAGAGGACAACATTCATATGGCCAGACGATTTTTGAGTATTTCCGAAAATACTGCATACATTTAATTTTTATGGCTGTAATGTTATGACCATAGAGTGTAATTATGGCTCGTATTAATGGCATAAAATATTGACAAATCAAAATTTCATAATCGATGGTGTAACATTGGGGTGGTGGTGACCATCTCCCATCCAGGACATGCAAGTAAAGTCATGCCATTAAATTTAACATTCGTATAAGCACGTAATAAGGATTAAGCTTGAGGACTTGAGTTCTGAACAGACTTTTGAAAATGCATGCGATTTATGTCGATGAAGTTAGTTAATATATAACATGTGAATGTACATATATGCCAATATGGGGGGGGGGTATGTTAATATATATCGTAGGTAGCATGACTTGACTATACTAGTTTACGTCTAGTATTGTGTATGAATTTGTGCGCAAATGTGTATCTGTTTGAGTGTGCATTTATGTGTATATGTATGCGTGTGCGTACATATGTAAACATGCATATGTGTGCCTGTGTATCTGTATGTATGTGCGTGTGTCTGGAACGTAGCTTAGAGTTTGTGTGGGTGTATATTCGGAAGTGCGTCTACAGTTTGGTACTGGTTAATTGTCAGTCCGTGCGCACATACATATGTATATGTGTCAGGCAGGGTGTGTATGTGCATGTATGTGTGCAAGAATGTGTTGTTTCTAGTAGTGGGAAGGTGAACATTAACCAGCAGTCTCTGATCAATTAGATTAGTATGGTACTTGTTCTGCATTTCGGCATTTTGTAATAGATCAGCCACAATAAAAAGCTACGCAGTCTATATACATGGCATTTGACTAAAGTATTGGTTACTAGTTACATTTGTCATGTAGATTCTCGTACAGATTAAATATTACAAATTTTCTGTGTAGAAGCCCTAACACAATATCAACAGGTATGATAAAACTGTTGTTCCACAATTGCCATCACGCGGCATGTTCAGAGAAGTAGCCATCTATACACAACGTCGCGCACGTCCCGCACGTCACACACGTCTGGAATCATTTCTCAACCATGACATTGCTATTTTTCAATCAATTAAGGATGACGTCGTTGTTGTAAAATGATTGAAAACGCGATGCAACAGCATTCATGGAGCACAAATGTGTAACATCATCTATAGATGACCAGTACTCTGAATGATGGCAATTATTGAACTACGTGAAGTAATTTACTATTTCATGTTCCTTATTTCCTGCAAATGATTAAGCATATATGATGGAGAAGTGTGTCAAAATGCATTGTTAGTACACAGTTAATGGCATATTGTGTTTTTTAGTGTTCGCCGTTCATTTTCAGTTTATCAGCACAATATAGCTCTGTGAAATAAACGTGAAAATGATTTAATAATACGTTGAATAGGTTTTATCTATTTCACTGCCAGTATAAAATTAGTCTCTTTCATAGTAATGTCAGTTTCAGAAACACTTAAGCAAACAAAGCAAAACGTAAGCAAAATACATATAAGAGAGACACGACTGGTAAATACGTTATTGAAAAATGCATTTTAATAGCAAATATAACATTTCAAGCTTTTTGCACAGTATTGTATAAGTGGATATGGCTTTAAATAAATAAGGGACTAAAAACGCAATGCGTACTGTCTGCACCAACCAGCGGCTATGCGATCAACAAAGTATCTGCCATATTGACAGGTACATTGATATATATGTATCTGCTACGTGAATAACGCACGGAACAAGGTTCTACATTCTGAAATCATGTATAGCGAATCGTGGTGTTCAGTAATCCACCACCATTCCACGCTCCGGACTCGATATATTACACCGGTGCGGTGCGCACGCTTGTTTCACCCAGCTTATTCATATAGGTGCATATGAATACACATTATATCTGCATACTACCTGTCAGCATTATAATCAGCAGGAGCATCGGTTATGCTTAACAAATAAGAATTTTTAATCAAGCATCTATGTTTTTGTGCGTACTTCTTCATGAATGTGATTAGTACAAACTGACAAATTAATCAAGCTGCTTCGAAATCCATTACACCACTGTAATGTGTAGTATGCATATTGATATGATGACTATCTGTTTATGTCAAAACTAGTAAACGAAGAAGGCATATAGATTCCTTAACCATTTCCACTGCATAATATTCATGTTGACAGATTTACAGACACACTACAAGCTCTAGTTTTCCGAAACATCGGTGATGAAGCATTCATAAATCACTGGGTTTTAACACTAAGACTGCACACATACATGTTCACACGTACACACGCCTACACGCGCGGATGCACACACGGACGCAAACACATATACACTTACACGCATGCAGATGCATGTTTTGAACAATATTTACAAAGTACAATTCATATTTTCGAACACAAAAATAACATATTCACATGGGTTACATGCATACACTCTGAATTCACTAGCTCACACCACGCCCTGACAAGACGGCTACCAGGATTTACTCAGCACAAACCTTCGTTATCACAAATTCCTTAACCTGCAACAACTAAGCCTCGACTTCTAAACGATGACAATATTACAGATCTAGTCTGTTGCACAGTATTCCAATAAGGGACACATACGATATCAACACTGTACGCAGGAGAAATGTAGGTACGAAAAGGAGTTGTACTGTAGCAATCCAGCAGTGACAAAATTGAAATAATTTGTGTCCCTGGATTCCTGAAAGCGATGCCTGAGAGAAAAGGTGACATATTTGAGAAGACAAGCAAGGGATGTGACCTACATTGTTGAAACACTAGCAATTTGTTATCTCTAAAGTATGCACATCTTTCCACGAGTTCACAACTTCGCTTCCCTAGACTGGCACACATGCACACACGTGCGCAGCTACAACTCAATACAGCATTAGAGTTGTGAAGCTTCTGCCACGCACATCTGCACTGATACAAACGTCAGAAGAACTGCCACTTTCCCATGACTGTGTCCTTCAGTGCATCCACGTATTGAGCAGGGAACCAATAAATCCAGTATCGTGAGGCTTCCGTTGGGCCCAGCTGAATTCCCTGCAATGTCAGACATACATTGTCACAGTTTCTGAAGTCAATGACAAACTCAGATGATGATGCTCACATTTTATGGTGAAAACTTATATATCTATATATTTATTTATTTATTTATTTATTTATCTATATATTTATTTATTTGTGTATACATACAATTTTTGAATAGTGAAAATTACCCTAAAAGTGAAACCTGCAAATGTATTTTGTAAAACCTGGTCAACCATATAGCATGATCAGGTTTCATTGTATGGCTGCTACTTGAGGGAAACACCAGTAGTGTCCTTTTATGGACAGATACCCTTTCTATAGAGTTGGTTTCACTGTAGAACTGCCACTCAAGGGAAACACATTCTGATGTCTGCTCTATGGAGGTGACAGGTAACACAGGTACCAATACTACCACTCTACAATGATCCATACAGATGCAGGTACAAGCAAGACAAGCATACGCACACTATGTATCAGTAATTCAAGCTAAACCACACATACCACAATATGATACTGCTCATGTTTCTCTATGGCTTCACTCACGATATTCTTGATGGATGCCATTGGAATCTTATCTGTTCGTTCTGTGCAATGAATAATGGTCACATATTTTCAGTTCACTCAACACTATGTAATAGCTTGAGTGAAAAAAACAAATTTGATTTTATTCACATTCTTTTCACATTTAAAAAGTTTTCTTTAGTTATTAAATTTATTTATTTTTATTCACTCCTGGGTTGTAATTCGCGAATAAAACTCAAGACAACAAAAGTTCTTCAGAAAAAACGAAAAAAATATTTTCAGAGATACCAGATTCTTCTACGCGAATCTTACCTTTCGTTCCTATCCACAGCTGATCAGACTCCAGTTTGAATGTAAGCCTCACTTTGCTGCCATTCTTATTGAAGCCATGAACAGGTACTGGTGGGAGTCTCTCCTAATGCCAAGAAAGCCGACATAAACTGTGTTTAATTTTCACTGCTATTCTAAAGTTGACCTCACCTGTTTATTATATTTGCGAATAATGTATACCTTTTCAATTATGACAACAAAAACAGTGTAAACAAACAGCAACATGTCTGAAATGCTAAATAACTTTCTGGTCTTATTGATAGGACTTTTATAGATCCCATGAATTTATAATTCTATTAGCATTTTGTACTGTACCTTTACTGATTTTACTCCAGCCATGCAATCTTCAGGTATTCCTCTATCAATTACTTTTTTATGCATTTTCTGTCTAGAAACAGGCTCCTTTTTCACAGATTCTGAAAACAAGCAAAGGCGACATGGTCCACAACATTGCCTCTCAGGGCACGACAAACCCGCTTGCCCAGGGCAACCAAAATTCGCTGCCGGGAAAGTAGCTTGAAATTGCACTTGCCCGATCGGGCAAGCAAGTGTTTTTTAGTGAATGTCTATCCATAACGATAGTTACACTTAATATTCCTAACATCCTTTGAGCCAGGGTGCTATCGCATGACATTCTTACGGTATTATTATTAAAGGTCGCCGAAAAAAGCAGCCCGCGACAGGCCGACAGCGTGCAGCAAGAACCAGCACAGCGTCGCTGTGTATACGTGCTGGCTAGGGCGGCATTGATTGATGAACGGGGGGGGGGGCAATTGTTTAGAGCCATGTATGTATGTTACCATGTATTACGTTGCCTTAGCATTGTACTTGCACAAATACAGTGACAGAGACTGAGCAGTTCAATCCTCAGCAATTTGAAGTTTGTTTCTGGTGACCCCAAAGATAAAAATACTCAACTCAGAAGTGATATTTTTGTGATGAAGATTGTTCAATAATGCTGACTCAGAGTCAGAGTGCAGGAAATTAAATCTAAGAGGTGTATTTTTTTTAATTTCTGGGGGAGGACCCCTGGACCCCCTTAATCTGGACGAGGGGGGCCATCCCTCCCGAACCAACCACCCTAGCAGCTGCGCTGCCCGGCTGCTACCTGCGGCAGCAGACAGCCATCTACTTTGGTAGTTTAGCCTACTACTTTATAAACCTGTGACAAGCCTGGAAGTAGCTTGTTAATAAACCTTTTAAAACTTGTTATTTAAATCATACAGACCTCTCATAATGTGGTTTATTTTGTATATTTTATGCAATTTATCATTTTGACAATGTTTCCCTTTAAAAATTGTGAGCAAGTGCTTTGAGCTTGTGGGCAACCAAATTTTGTGGGCCCGACGGGCAAGTGAGGGAGAAAAAAATTTGTATCATCCTGCTGCCTCTATTCACAAAGCAACGTCAGGATTTACATAATGTATTTTCATGTACGTATTATCTGCATGGTAAGAAAGTGCATTTGACTTGAGTGAATGCTCTTCATGTTGCTGTGTGGTACCTTGCGCCTTGTCCTCCGCTCGAATCTTCTCTGGGTTAACGCTGCTAACAGCAATCACATCATTCAGCTTGGAACCAACCAACATTAGCTTGGCGCCAGTTGACACGTTAAGCTCACGCAATGTCTTCTCATCTTGCATTAGGCCTTAAATGAAAATTAAGATTTGAATTGATGATGCATTGATTTATTTGCAATGGATAAAATCCATGCATCTTCTCTGGTAAACCTTTCAATGGTACAAATGTTCACACTAAAATGTGTACCAAATGAAATTTCTCAATGCATGAAGTTTCGAAATTTGTAATAATTCAATTGCAAAATATATAGGAATTAAACAAATTAACTATCTTTGAATCTAAGTTTTCTGTTGAGTAAGTAATAGAAACATACCAGGGTTTCTTCTGAGGGAAAATTAGACAACGGAGGTAATGGCCAGTTTGGGGAAAAAATGCGCATGATGGACTCAAAGGCGTGCAGTAGGCACGAATGTGGATTCTGCAGGCAGGTGCGGGGGAGAGAGGTAGAGGGGGGTTCTGGGGGTTTCCCCCAGCAACATTTTAAAAATTTGAATGTCTTAAACTGCATTTGAGGCACCGCGAAAATAAAATTTCATCTTTTAGTTTAAATCTTACTCTGTTAGCAGACCTACCAAGTCTCACGCATTTCGCGGGAGACTCACGCACCTGGAGCCATTCTCCCGCACTCCCGCATGCCCTATGCATTCTCACGCATTCACGCAAAAAAAAAAAAAACGAAAAAAAGCAGCCCGTGACACCCCTGTTACCCACGTCTGTGGCTATGCACGTGCTTGCTGGCTGGGGCGGCATTGATTGAAGTACGAGGGGGGGGGGATGCACTGAGTGTTACAGTCGCGTGGGCATGCTTATTGCTGTATATGTAGGGGTGGGCGCCACTGGTATGAGGGAGCGACAGCAAAACTTTCCCGGAATCGAGCAAAAAGCTGCAATCGGGAATGACACACGAGTGTGCCGGCACGCAAAAAGAAACGTTGCTGTGAATTTCATTACGATTTTCCATGTATATATAGTTAGAAGCACGTGGTGAGGATCTATTTATTTTTGGATTGACACTATTTTGACAACGGCGAGTAAATACAGGAACATTTTCACAACGGCGTTGTTAAAATTGCCAACGGCGGTGCGCCGCAGTGCCTCCTATGTAGAAGAAACCCTGCATACTACTAAGTTTAATAAACGTTATACAACCAAAAATACTAATGAAAATAACTATATACTGATGGACAATGGGATTACGTTTGAGATATTGAGCTTATATACTTTCATTATCTCTGGTTATCAACTTACCTTTGAACATGAGCTTTTGCATCGCAGGTGTCACTCCTGTGATTTTGTGAATATGTGCTTTAAGAGAGCTGACTTTGTCATCCACAGGAAAGCTAACATCTAACCTCTGCTTGTTAAACACAACTTTAAAATCCACCATCTCCTTGTTCGCTACATCTTCCTGCATATCACCCGATTCCGTGATAGCACTAGTACCTGGACACTCTTAACAGAGGTAAGGAGCATATAATAAAAGATAACAAACGACTAAACTAATATATTTATCCCAAACTATGTCGAAATTATATTCTTTTTAATCAGCATTATAAGACTTTATGATATATTTTTAAGTGTATTTCAAAACATGTATGCATGTAATGCATATTTATCAGACACATAGAATTAGTATATGCCAGCCAGAAGTTAAGTAGTTGGGTAAAAACGGAGTCCTAGTGCTCCGAACTACTCTGCTTACCTGTTACCATATCTGTATCATTGCCAACATCTGATTGCTGTTGAGTGACACTATCCGTAGTAGCTTCAGATTCACCCGTTTCAAATATCAACTCGTCTCCAGCTGTTTTCACATCAGCATCTGTACCTACCAGTAAATCCACATGAAATTATGGGTGGGACGATTCAAATACACCGATATATCATTGTCAAAACCTTGACGATACATGCAGGAATTGTTTGTTCCATAGAAAATCTGTAGCAATTTACCAGATTTCTTTAGGTAAACTGTCTTGTACCAAATAGCAAGGGTGATAATTTAAACATGTGAACATTTGGCTACGCTCTCTTATTCATGTTGTTTGTGCACGCAGCACAGGGCGGGCGTGCGGTGTACTTAATTGTGTGTTGCAGATAAGCATTTGACCGGCATTTATAGGTGATTATAGGCGAAATAGAGTAGAAAAACATTAAGACTTTGGTAGTAAATACATTTCGTATTTATTTACCATTATTTTTATTTATTGAGACGTTCCAAGTGCCTGTGCCGGCGTACGCTTTTGCCAACCAGCAGAGCTATGTTTACACACGTGACCTGGACGTAACGTCACGCTGAACCCTCGTACACTGTAGCAGAGTAGTGTACAGCTGTAAACAAACACGTACATCTTTCCCGCAGGGTCCAATACTATAGCGTATCCATCCAAGCTGAAGCATCCGGGCACTTTTAGAATGAATTGATTTGGAGTTTGGTTTGTAGTTGGCTGGTTCGGAAAGTGTAGTGAATAGATTGCAAGTCCTATGAATTGATTCGAAGTTTTCTGAATAGTTTTGCACACGGACCGGAAACAACAAAGTGGGCGGAAAATTGTAAACGTTAGTAAGTGATTTCAGAAGTCTTGAATAGATTGGAAGTTGCATAAATTGATTGTTAAATGAGCTCTTTGATTGTAAACATTTATATATGTTTTGAAAGCTGTATGATTAATTTGTAATTTAAGCTATACATTTGTCGTTTGTTACCTAATAAGTCTGAAACCAACAGTTAGATTCGCATTTCTGGTGATTAATGTTAAAAGTAATAAATTAATTTCAAACTTAGTGAACTGATTCGTTATTCTGTAAATTAATTTAAAACTTATAATTTCAATTGTTAGGGTGATGAAGCAAGATTGGAACATTTGTGAGTTTATGTAACATGTTCTCAATTAAATTGCAAGTTAGTAAATTTGTTTGTTGTTTAGAAAATAAATTGTACGTTTAGAAAATAAATTGTACGTTTAGAAAATAAATTTCTACAATGATGTGAAGGAATTTGTATATCAGGCAATTATTTTGGAAAGTTTTGAATTAATTTGCAAGTTAATAAATTGATTTGTTATTCTGTGAATTGATTTTAAATTTTGAATTTAAATTTCTTGAACAATATAAAGTAATTTGTATTTTTATTAATTAATTTGAAATGTTTTAAATTGATTTAAAATTGTGTACTTGAAATGTTTGAAAATGACTTTTAAAGGGGATGGCTTTCCATAGAACAACATTTACCGTAAAATTTTGACTACCAAGGGCAAGGGCGAATTCTCGCCGATATCGATGATTTAGAGATAACCTGTAGTATATAACCTGTTACAAAAATTCGAAGTGACGAGCGGCGAATATACTGAGCGCCATTTCTGTTGACCTGTGACGTACTTCGGTTTGAAGAGCAGATTCACCGACCAATCGGAGGGCGCTGCGTTTGCCGATCGCTATGCGCATTGGGAATGCGTACGTCACAGGTCAACAGAAATGGCGCTCAGTATATTCGCCGCTCGTCACTTCGAATTTTTGTAACAGGTTATATTAGTTTAACTTTAATACAGAGTATTGCGATACATAGTAAGTTCCCGGATAGCGGAGAAAGGTTCGTGTTTAGAATAAACCCAGTTTGGAATTCAACTTCTAAGTTCTAGTCTCTGAAAACGCACCAGCAAACCGCCCTGAGTGATTCACTCAGGCGTTCCTCCGCACAAAACCATACGGACGCTTTGTAACCCTATCCTCCTGGGTTTGGGTTACATTATTGTATCTAGTGAACACACTAAACAATACTATGGCTTTAATGCTAAGCCTAAGCCTAAGCCTGAGGCTAACTTGGACGTGACGCTGCAAAATAAACACTGAGTGAACGGTGCTTCTGGCGTGATCATTGGCCAACTCTGAATACATTTAATAGGTAAAACACGATATATATCAGTATTATTACTAATAATAATTATCTCAAATAACCTGTTTAGTATGTTTAATGTGATAACTTGAAATAACGCACAATAACTTCGCTTACCATCTACGGACGCCATGATTAATGTCGCTTCAGTCAAAACTATAATACGTATTTATCACGTAAGATTAACCCTAGGAGGAAACCGCTTATTAGTAATAACAATTAATTAAAAATTTGCGGTTACATCGATTATGATGTTGCAGTTTACTGAGCTTGTCTAGGCGCCTCAAAATAATTTCTCAACATTTTATGCTTGTGTTGAAAATAGCGACAACATAAGCGGCACATTAATGGTCGGTATTTTGGTTTTGTTCTGTTTCTTGAATAGCGAGAGATTATAGCATATAACCTTTACACACCAACAATATGCCGAAAGTAAGACGAAGCAGAAAGCCACCACCAGAAGGTTGGGAACTTATAGAGCCTACTTTAGATGAGCTTGATCAGAAAATGCGTGAAGGTAGGTTAATCCGCTGTGTGACGATGCAGATGGTTTACTCAGTCATTGTGATTGTCATTGATTATCAATCATCATCATGTCATTATGATGGCGATGGTCTACTACTAGTAGTAGTACTAGGCTAACGCTCCATTAGGAGTGTTCCCAACTTTGATATCATTAATGATTAATGATTGATAAACCTAACCCTAACCCTAACCTAAATCATAAATGACATTAAACCACAAACTAATAAAAATAGTAATATTTATATTATATAGGTATGTTATTATGACCATTAATGACATTAAAGTTCAGAACACTCCTCATGGAGTATCACCCCCAGTCGACCACTGTAGCACTGTACCAGTTATCTTATTATTACTGCCACTGCCAGCAGTACTGGCTGCCTATGCCTTAGGCTTACCTCGCCTTAGTACACATCATACCTAGTATATTGTGGCTACTGATATATATTAGTAGTACAGTAAAACTCGCATAAGTCGACACTTTTGGGACCAGCATATTTGTGTCGACTTACGAAGATGACGACTTACGTGTAAGTCGTCATTTTGTGGACTTGTACAATGTATGTAATGCGCGTATACACTGTATTAGCTGCCTTGCGTAGCAGGACATTTGCGGTGCACGTCTGCCAAATTTTCTTGGAACACTTGCTGAAAAAATACGGTAATTCCGCGAGGCCGTGCTCTGGAACGAACTAGTTAGTACTGTATAGCAGAATAAATTTTTAGGGCATCACAGGGACTCCTGCATATGTTCAAATCAGGGAGTCCGACAGTAAATCAGGGAGATTTGACTCGATCCAGATGCGTTAATTTCGCACCCTGCATTGGGCTGCATACACTATATACACTATATAATACACTGTATACAGTGAGGAATCTGGGGGTGTGGGAGTTGAGAACTAGAAAAAAAAATACAATGCGTCCAAGCGAACAATGCGATTCAAACAATCCATCTGCGACAGCCAGCTTGTGTATTCCCTAGACCGTACACTGCGCAATCGGCATTTCTGATGTCGACTTAGAGATGGGAAATTACTGTTGTTTGTATTACATGGGACCTGTCAGAGGGCGTCGACTTGGACATAATGAAGACTTATAAATGTCGACTTAGGCGGGGCTATTCCAATGGATTTACTATGAGAGCGAATCGGGACTTTGACTTCCATGTCGACTTAGGCGAATTGACGACTTAGACGATGTCGACTTACGCGAGTTTTACTGTAGTGGCTACCTTGTAGTTGTACAGTAGTGGCACTGGCAGTAGCAATAGTTAATAGTAGTTACAGTAGCAGTAGTAGGCCTTGTTCACTACACTCCCCCACAGGACAAGTGCCGAAGAAGGACTATAGTACTACTAGAGCTATAGTTAGAGTAGCAGTAGTATTATGCCCTGCCCATTCTCGCAGTGAATTTAGTTCTTTGGGGGGGTCGTGAAGCACGCTGGTTTTTGTTTTACACAGTGTGGGTCATAAAATGCTGAATTCAGCTGGTGCTGGGTTAAAACCAGTGTTTATATAACAGTAGTTATGTTTAGTGCAATTTGTAAACTAATTTTTCTTAACTTTCTAGCTGAGACGGAACCACATGAAGGAAAGAGGAAGGTTGAAGCATTATGGCCCATATTCAAAATTCACCATCAGAAGTCCAGATACATATTCGACCTTTTTTACAAGCGGAAAGCCATTAGTAGAGGTATATATTGCGCGTCAACTACTGTGACTAATTATTTGTGTGTTAGCATCAAATCAAAACAAAGGGTATGTCATGAAGGTCTGATATTGACAGGCCACTTTTTTATGTGTGCGTTACATATTTAATTCATCTTAGCAAGATCTCAGGGTACACTAACACGTGTTGTGTCGGGTACACTAAACAGTGTTTTTTTCCCATACATATATGCAGGCATCTATACATCAAAAATAGCTTGTTTATTAACATTTTAATATTGTTACAATAACACGTGTTGATTAATGCCTCTCATGATTAAATTAAAAGGTTTTGTTTCTTTGAGTCTTTGATAATTTGAATGCATTTTAATATGGAAAAATCTATTTACAGAACTATACGAGTTTTGTCTGAAGGAGAGCATTGCTGACAAAAACCTAATAGCAAAGTGGAAGAAACAGGGCTATGAGAATCTGTGTTGCTTGCGTTGCATACAGACACGTGACACTAACTTTGCTGCCAACTGTATATGCAGGGTGCCCAAGGCAAAATTGGAGGAGGTTTGTAGTAGATAACCAATACCATTTGTAACATCATAGAGGTACAATATAATATTATTTGATATTCTTACCTCCATTGTAATCTGTATTGCACAGACGTCTCACATTGAGGAGAGGTGGCAGAAGATGGGTTGTCTCAATTTCCCATATCACAGTGACAGAACCAATAGTACCGATTTTTGGTTCAGCATTTGTTCAATTAGGAGTGGACGTTCTATACCAGAGGTAGTCTCCCATCTCTCACTTAAACAGTCAACCGTATTACCACAATCTAATACCAGGGGGCGCATCCATAAAGTCTGAATGATGGGAAGAGGTCTGGTGAGTGTGGAGCAGAGGGGGGTTGGTGGTATGTAACCAGAGATTTTTTCGAGATATGATTGTAATCCAATAGATTGCAGGCATATCTATTTTGAAGGATGTTATTTTACCTCAAGCAAAATTTGCTACATACTGGGAAACTCAGGGTTATAGTCACAGAGGATAGGGTCCTGAACCCCTGGACCCTACCCTGGTAACCCCACCATGATCTGCCCCTCCATCTCATCACACAAAATCCACTTTGTGTAACCAGGTGCTGGAGACCCACAAAAATCGCCCCAATATAAGAATCCCCATGTGGTTATAAGACTAGTACAACTATATTGTGCTGTGTAAGTTATATTTACTGGCTCCAATGTGCTTGCTACCCATTTTAAAAATGCCAGGTATGAAAGGTAGGTTATTTCTACCATTGACTTCAGCAGCTTGTCATTTCTTCTGCAGGGCAGGATAGTTGAGTGTGTACACTGTGGATGTAGAGGATGCTCGGGCTGATGCAACCGGATTACAGATAGAGCATGTCCAAGAAACCTTACTGACTCTATAAGGACGCTATAAAGGCTAGCACTATGGGGATTTTCTAGTTCACTTCTCGTTTATTTTTATTATTTTTGCATAGATTTACTTTGTGTATAGTACAACCTCCTGTAGCACAATTAGTAACGATCAGTTTAAACTAAACCAGATAGGTTTATCCTCAAATCATCACATTGCTACTATGTCTTATTATCACCAGTTTGGATAGTTATTAGATTCTCCTGTATGCAGTGATGAAAATTATGTCGAACCATTCCATGCATGCTAGCACTTATACATGAACTGTTTACTATTCTTTTAAAAATTAAAATTAAATATTTGTGTAAAAAAGCTTTGTGTATAAACCTCTTGATGTGGCAGGGCATTTCAAATTAAAATAATTCATGATTATAAAAATATAGAATACATTCCGAACAAAAGTCATTACATATTTTATAATAGACATCTTTCTTTCCATGCCATACTTATAGTGACAGCTATCATTTTTTATAGATAAAGTTCATACCGGACTACATTAATATATATGAAGTCAACTGCTGATGTTAGTATAGTACTTTTCGAAAGCATAGTATAAAAATTTAAACCATACACAATTCTCAAACATTGTACACTTAAAATGCACTTATCATTATATAGTACATTATATATATATATATATATGAATGGTCACACTGACACAACACTAACACACAATCTGCAAGAACTCTTCTTGTATGTGTTACATAGACCGTATATATTTACTTTTAGCACACAAAGTGTAGGTAGTCCGAACAAGTGCCGCAGAGCGACAGCGCTTACCTGACCGCAGGTGTTCTGATGCTAAACTCACTGGCAAACGAATGAAGAGCACCCTCCCATCACCGCGTTCGTGCTCAGAGCATATATCTAGGATACTACTAATACAGATCTAAAATCTATGATAGCTAGGCTTTGCTATACCGGTAGTACAGTAATAAAGATACAGCTGTGTAACTTTAATGACTTCGCTATATTAACATGTTATCATGGATATGCGTTGAGCGCGAGCGTAGTGGTGGTGGTGGGGGGAGTTGGAAGGGGGAGTCTAATAGCAAAAGCAGTTGCCGCAAGATGGCGCGTGCAAGTGTCATCAATAATCAAAGATGGCATCACCCTTCGTGCGTGATAACCTCACTCCATTGAGTTGAAAATCCAAGTATATTCAGGCAAGGCGAGAATTTCGCTCAGCTGTGAGTTAACACATCTGCATTGCAGGTTGCAGGCAATAATTATGATTAGAATAGTGCCAGTTCACCCCCATGCGTAATGAGCTGCCCCCATGTTTTTGCCTACCCACGCGAGCATTCAGGGTTCATTACAGTGTGCTAATACAGACTGCTTTAGAAAATAATATGATTTAAGGAGCGTAAACCTTGTTCAACAAACATTTTCTTTGCAATTGAACTGTGCAACTGTAGCCTCATCAGTCCATCACACACAGTTCAATCCTTTGTTAACAGTCAACAAATCCATGTTTAACCCTCCTCTTGAGGGTCAAAAGGTTATCCGACACTTACTCTTCGCATGTCAGCGGAAAGTACATTTTATGGTCCTTTCAATAAAGCCATAAAAATGGTAGGTCACCGCTGAAACAAAAAAGTTTTCCAATCACTCCGTCAGACCATGTCCTCAGAAAATGTTTAAAATCTGCCCTGTGCCCATTGACCTTTGACCTGTGACCACCAATTTCGCACAGTGATGGCTTCTCCTACCATGCTGCTATACACCGACTATCACGAGCCTAGGTCGAGCCATTTAGATTTGTGCCACAATTCTGCTTTTCCTCCCTATACCTTAAGTTAAGGAGGGAATGTTCCCTTCTTTTACACCTCTTGACCTTTGACCCCCAGCTTCGACATCCCAACTCGTTTTCGGATTACCCCCCCGCGTCCCGACTTTTGAATCCGTACGTCGAGCCGTTTAGATTTGTGCCCAACTGTTGACGGATGCACGGCCGGACGCACGCACGCTCATGCGATTCTACAAGCTGCATCTGACTATGTCAGATGAGCTAAAAATCTACAAGGCAGCTAATTGTGTGATCATGCACATGCCTGCACGCACGCACGCACAAACACAGAGATGGCATCAGGACACCCCCCTCAGACAATTACCCTTAATATGACATTGCTATTCACCTCCATAATTACCCTATGCCATATCACTCCACAGACAATCACCACGCATAAATCCCCCCCCCCCCTATAAATCCCTCCTAATGGGGTCACATAGCAACGGCTGGCTGCATGGCAAGTTTATACTGAGACGATTGTCCAGGGGTGTAATTGTTCGAGGAGAAGTGGTAAGTGCCCAATGAGTGACTGTCTGGGGAAGGGGGTAATTGTCCATGGAGTCATTGTCCTATATAAACCCACACACACACACATAAAGACACACATATACACGTGCATGCGCACATACTAAACAATAGCTGCCTCTCTCACTGGCATTACTTGATTGTGACAAAACTGATGCGACGCGGCTTCTTGGACATGTTGGACTCGACAACATCTTCCTTCGATGGTGCGTCCTCTTCTTCGGATAGTTCCAAGTGCAACTCAACAGAGGCTTCACCTGTTAAAGAATTCTTTTCCGGAGACACCAGGTTTTTGGACCTTCTCTGAGATGATACATTCTCCCGACCCTCCTCCTTTGCGGCTTCTGTCACCAACGTTGGAAAGAGAGGAATGGCCGGGGCTGTAGTAGATGCACACATCTTCTTGCTCGGCTGCTGCTGAAGCGAATCCCCACTTTCGGACCGGCGCTTAAGGGTCAAGAATCCCACACGCCTTGCTTCTTTCTTTTCCGTCTTTCGTTCATCCACAGCAGTAGCTTCGGGCGGTTTATGGATAACGTCATTACTTGGCTTTGCAACGACTGAGGTTGCATGTGAAATAGTTTTGTTGGTGGATGGCTCTAGTGTTGCATTGTTCACTGGAAGCCTGCTGGACTGCGGGTGCACTTGTGTTGGTATGATTTTGCACTGTTGCTTTGCATTTCCAACTCCTAGTTAAGAGATAAAAAGCAGTGTAATGAATGTCATGTGAAATCTATAGTGGTATAACAGGATTCAAAACTAAATTTTTCGAGTACTTGCTATTTCAGGCGAGTGACTTTCAAATGTTACTCGCCCAGATGAATTTGGTACTCGCCCTAAAAACAAACTGACAAACAAGTAATAATATCAGATACACTCCTGATAATATTATACTAGATTGTGTTTTATAGTCATAATAACTGAAACGTATCTTACATTCAATACCGATTTTAAAATTATGATATGTCATCATTCTGGGCGAGTACTGTTTGAGTTCAAATCACCCAGCATGAATATCGCTCTCCATTGGTAGGGACAGTGATTTTCCGATTCAAAAAATTGCCTTTTCCGTTTGGGAAAATCATGAATTCCGTTTCAAAGTAAAGAAAAAATAGAAATTCCGTTTTGCCATAGAGATTGTACACACCAAAAATGCAACATTCCGTTTATATTACATTATATTACAATTATATTACAATTATATTACATATATTTGCATGAAAAAAAGGTATTTGGTCACTGACTGACAGTTGGGTTGGCACCGAAACACAGGGCTACCAAAAGACGTAATTGTAAGTCATTTTGCTCTGAAACTTGTCTGAATGTAAACCATATCACTACCAATGCTATTGTCGACATTTTTTTAATAATTTTATTGAAATTTCCATGTTGTAATATGTTCAAATTACATTTTCCGCATTTTTCTGTTTGAAAACATCTTTTCCGTTTCCAATGGGCGTTTCCGTGTTTTCCGTCCGTTATCCGCGATCGCGGAAAATCACTGTCCCTACAATGGTAACCTGGCGAGTGCTAATTTCGAACCCTGCGTGCAGAGTGGTAGTGTCGGATGCTAAACAAAAATTTATCATCGCTTCAGTTATTGGAATTACGATTACTAATCAATGGTAGTTGCAGGCATAGAATAACATCCATTAAATACGGCTATGGTTTACCTTGTGGAGATGATATAAGAGTGGGTGTGATTCTCCTTGCTTCCTTGACCTGAGTAGAAGACGACATCACAGCTACTGATTGAAACGGTACAGCCCGTCTGACAGCTATAGGCTTTGCTACGCTCTCCATTTCCTCGCTGGACTTTGCATCAAGTAATATACTTTGGCTGATCGTTACTTCAGAAGGCTGCATAAGATATGACAAATTAAATTGATGTGACTTGAAAGCATAATCACCTATCTAATGTTGAGAATAGGTTGAAAATTATTATTTATCCATCCAACTACTTTGTATGCTACATCTATAGATTCAATTAGAAAGATATCAATCTACTTGCCTAAACATACATGTAACCTTTCATGGCAAAAGCTAACCCATTTAGACGTGTCACGAAAAGTCGAAAACCTAATCACTAAAATTGGGAGTGATACGCTGTAACAATCAGTTGTAACTCCAGGATTAACATGTACGCACCTGCATGTCATTACTGCTCGAACTAACTGTGGATGCTGCATCCTCGCTCGCTGCTGGCACATACACTTCACCTAACTCTCCTTCCTTGAACATGACAAATGAACAGTAGCCATCGCTTGAGGAACACACCAGTACTTGGCCGTCGGACGACCAGGCAAGGTCAGTCAGCTGCGTGTAATGTGCATTAGTGACCGATGCAAATGGGAATGTCTGCTGGCTGTCGTAGAACAGTATCGAGCATTCTGTCGCCACAGCGAACACCACGCGATACGGTAATCCGAATACCGTCTCGTATTTCTTCCAGGCCGGCACCTCTCTTTCTTTGTCATCGGGTCCCGTGCTGCCATCATCCTGCTCCTCATCGTTGGTCCTCGATTTCTCGCATTTTCTCAGATCATACAGTATTGGACTACACCTGACTGCCACCGCGACTTTCTCAGGCAGAGGTAGGTGCACAGCTGGTTTTGGCAGCGATTTACGCGTGAATATGTGAGTGGCGTTGACGACCTTATCTCCCATCTCCACGCAGCCAGCAGGTGCTATGAGCATCTCTCCGTCTGGCGAGAAAGTCAAACGCCTGAAGAACGACTTTGTCGATTCGTCGAGGAAGAGTCGCGACGACTTTGTCTGCACATTGCCATCCGGCTGGGCCGTGGTCGTCACGGTCTTCGTGAGGTTGTACACGCATGCGAGCGTGCTAACGCTGTAGACACGACACGACCTGTCACAGCTGTTTGTGATCAGGTACTTGTTCTTCGGGTCCCAGGCGACACCCTGCACAAAGCTCTTGTGGTCCGAGATAACCTTCTGCTTCTTGCCGACGACTACGTCCCAGAGGACGGCCGTGTTGTCGACGGACCCGGAGAGTAAGCACTGGTTGTCCGGCGACCAAGCGAGGTCGTACACGTCTTCTAGATGTCCCCGCAGCATCTTGTAGGCCGTCCACGACTCCTTGTTCTCCACTTCATCGTCGTCTTCGAATAGATTGCCACCCCCAGCCGAGTCATTTTTCTTCCACAGGTAGATGGCAGCATCATCGTCACCCGAAGCCAGAATGTTGCCACTGGGCGAAAATCGGACAACGTTAACCGATTTGGCATGTCGCTTCAAGTTTGCGGCAAATTCGACCTTGGCTTTACCATCTGGTGTTGATCCTATATACCTGTGATTGAAGTGAGAGTTGATTTTTAAATTTTCATGTCAAATTAATAATAGAATAACCAAGCATTATTTCATTGTCATTAGCACCTGTCTATATGAATTAAATTGCACATATATATACATACATACATGGTTAGAATTTACTTTTTCACATATTTATATACAGTAAAACTCGCATAAGTCGACACTTTTGGGACTAGCATATTTGTGCCGACTTACGAAAATGACGACGTACGCGTAAGTCGTCATTTTGTCGACTTATACGTAGGGCTCCCCTCCCAGGCGCCCGTCACCCCTACGCAGTCATAAACATACTCCACACACGACGTCAGTTCGCGCCACATACATAGCAGACATGAAACAATTGGGTCCGTACATCAATCGACACCGCTGCTGGCCATAATGCACATACAGCGTACGCACTAGCGGCAAGCGCGGCACACGCTGGCTATCTGCAACAACCGCTGTTGATTTCAGGTTTGGACATTGCAGGACATTTGCGGTGCACGTCTGCCAAATTTTCTTGGAACACTTGCTGAAACAAGTGCCGCAGAGCGACAGCGCTCAACTGATGTGTACTGTAGCCAGGTATTATTCTGATAAACTCACTGGCAACCGAATCAAGTGCGCCCTCCTGCCACCGCGTTCGCGCTCAGAGCATATATCTAGGAGGATACTACTAATACAGATCTAAAATCTATGATAGGCT